CCCCAAAACCCCAAAACCCCAAAACCCCAAAACCCCAAAACCCCAAGTTACTATAGATTCAAATATTTATTGAAATGTACAAAATGCAATCAATATTCAGAATACAGTCAACAACATAAAAACAAAATAGAAGAGGGATATTGGATAAGCGATTAAGTACTTCTTATCTTCCATATCTAAACCATATTCAAAGTATCTAGTAGCAGTTGTTGTAGACCAAATAATCATAGCCAAGGACAATACACCTCCAATGATATTGCTCAGCTCTACAAATACTGAAGTAAGAGCAAGCAGCACGAAAGGCATCAAAGAATATCCTAGAATGCTAGTGGTCTTATAAAGTTCAACATACTAGCCTCTCTTACTGAGAAGATTAATTATGAAGTAAATTCCTAGACATCCTGTCAAACCAAACCCATAGATATATCCAAATTATACTTTACCTTTCTATAGTAAGACATTAGTGCTTAATAAATTACCAATAAAAGAAGGAACCCAAAAAGAATGCAAACTAGAATAGGACCAGACATGTCGTCATAGTCTGCATTTTCTTTAATGCCTCTTTACGTAATCACTGATATCAATTTTGCCTTGATTCTATCCAGGTCAATTTCAAGATCTAGCAAGTAAATAAATTATTGATAGAAATGTACCTTCCAGAAGAGAAATCTCTTCTTCCTCATCGACTTTCCCTGATTCAGACTTCTCTAGTTTAGGATCTTATTGTTGTTAGGATGCTGGGTCTTATCTAAATGGAGTTTTAAACGCTTATTGCTAATGATGGCCACCTCTGTTTAGTTGCTAGTTTTATGGCATTCTTTGATTTGATTATTTTTGATAAGTAAAATCACTATTATCAGTTTAGATTTCATCAAGAGATATACTCTCATCATTATGACTGAATCCATTTTAGCCAAAGCTATGATTAGCTGGTGGATCAGCTACAAATTCGATGTGCTAATCTTCCTCCTCATGATACTAATTTTAAGTAACTGGAGTGAACGGAGTCTATTTAACCTACTGCTACTAATGCTAGTTTTTAATGAAATTTTGGTTCTGATGCTAAATATTTTGCTATTATCTCAATCTATTATGTGCACCTGGGCCACCATCTGGTTGATTATTGTTTATATTATAACCTAAGGTATTTTTTTCGAACAATATGTTTTATTGCTGATGGCTGCCATTCAATTATTAGTCATAACCTATATTATGAGTCAGATAAGATTTTAAATTTTATCATTACTGTCTTGGCCTGCAGTATTCTACTGTGTAAATTTTGTTGTATCAACTGCTGAATCATTGAATGGAGTAGAAAATAATCTTGCTGTTCCATTATTTTGTCCTTTTACTCCATTCTTTTACTGAGAGAATGCAAATGGATTACTTCCCAAAGTCAAACCACCTTTAGCTTAATTTTGCATATTAGGATTATTTCTTAAATAATTATTATTCTAAAATTATCAAAATTCATAGAGGATTGGGGTTTTGGGGTTTTGGGGTTTTGGGGTTTTGGGG